GCCTGAAGCACCTTCCTATTCACAGGAACCAATCCTATATTCCCTTTGTGTTTAATCTGGTCGCAGTTGTGCTTCTGTCACTTTCACCTACAATAGTTTTGACAAACATAGGAGTTTGATGGAATTCCATGGTGTTCTGATGAGGGACCTAAGAAATAAGTGACCCTTGACTCTCCTCTTTTCAGTGTTACTGTGGGGAGAAGAGGTGGAGGATGGATACACAAAGCAAAGAAGAGAAAAAAGCAAAAATATTCTTAGAGGGCTGAGTAACCAATAACCCCAGAGATCCTCAAGGAATGGTTAGGCACAGCACTGGACAGAGCCCTCCACAGAATCTCCCTCTCTCCTAAGAGTCTTTATAAAGGGCAGGGCAAAGCTGGTTCACAGATGTGAGTACAGGCAACACAAAGTGTGTCATTGTCTTATTATTTATTAATTACCAAATTACTTTCCAATTAAACAACTGTAAACCTACTTTTGCCCCACCTTGCACATTGCCCCATTCGTTTCCAGACAGGTTGTTTTGATTATATATTCCCATCAGAAGGGACTGAGTTTTATATAATGAAGATTAGGGAAGCTAATTAAGTGGATTTAGAACTTAATATATAGAATTTTTACAGCCAAGCAGGCTTCAATTAGATGAGTAACTTTGCCTGATTCAGAGCAGACTCTAGCAGGGAGGGCATCAAATATTCAAATAGTTCTAAGAGGTAAGTGCACATGTGAGAAGTTTCAATGAACTGAGCTAAGAGTTGACTTCATAAATAAAGATGTTGCTTAAGTTTCCTTACAACAATTCGATTGTGGTTATTTGTTATCAGGAGGAGACACCTTAATAAAGGGAGAAATATTATCCATTCATTCATTCATTTATTTCTTCATTCATCTATTCATTGAGCAAACACTTATGGAGTGCCTATTGCATGTCAGGCACTGTTCAGGGCTGGGGACACAGTAATAAATAAGACAAAAGCTTTCCCTGAATGGACCACACCTCTCAGGTGGATTGAACTGAACTTAGAATCTCCATGTATTAATCTGTATCGTGATGGGTGTTCACTTGCAAAGGATGAGAACAATTGGGGTCATTACCTGGACAAATGGAACTGTGCAAGTCAGACCTTGTGGAGAGAATGGACATACTTCCTCCCCAATTTTCTGCATAATTGCTTCAATTCTCCATTTTGCCTTGCTAGTAGAACTGTCTAGGAATCGGCTAAGAATGTTCACAGCACTGTTTGTGGAGGAATTTAGAAATCTGGAGATGAAAGGAGCTGATATATTTATAATTGTAATGTAGTGTTACTACAGATGAAATGCTTTTGTAATTTATAATGTTTATAATGACAGGTTAGCATTACACAGGATGTTTTTCCCAGTGATTTATTCCATGCATTACTTCTTTACCTTTCCCATGTTACCAGAATGGCAGGGGTGATTATTGGTCTCTCAATGTTGCAGGTAGGGAAACAGAGATATTCAGTGAGTGACTTGTTCGCATCATAACTCATGGCCAGGTTAATCAGAAAGTCTGATTACAGGTTTACAGGGGAACCAATCACTCCTGCAAAGTTTTCCCAGCTCTCTGGTTCAGGCTTTCACATGAACATAGGGTATAACCCTGACACACATTCATTTAACCTCATTAGGTTTCAGCTTCATTGTCTGGAATATGAGACAACTAGAGGCCCGGTGCCCGGGGGTCCCCTCAGCCCAACCTGCACCCTCTCCAATCCAGGACCCCTTGGGGGGTGTCCGACTGCCGGTTTAGGCCCAACCTGTCTGCCTGCCTGATCACCCCCAACCGCTCTCCCCTGCCTGCCTGATTGCCACTAACCCCTATGCCTGCCTGCCTGATCACCCTTAACTGCTCTCCCCTGCTGGCCTGATGGCTCTCCCCTGTCGGCCTGATCACCCCTAACCCCCTCTGCCTCGGCCCCGCGACCATGGTCTATCCCGTCTAATTAGCACATTACCCTTTTATTAGTATAGATGAGCGAGATTCAGGTTCAACTAACTTTCAGGTTCAACGAACTTTCAATAGGCACCTATTGTGTGCAAATCATGTGTTCAATGCTTCTGATGCTATCATATTTAATTGATCACAACAAATGAAGAAACCTAGGCACTAAGAAGTTAAGTAACTTGCCTAAGGTGACCCAGCTAAATAAGGTGACCCAGCGAAAGATAGTCAATACATTAATCCAGACATCCCAACTGCAAAACCCAATGCTTTTTCCTACTTTAGCACTTTTCTTTATATTTTAGCATACTATAAAGTTACAGACAGCTATGCATGCACTGTGATTTGTTGAAATATAAACTAAAACTATCCCATTATCCAAAATCCATGTAATATGAATGATATAATTAATATAACCAAATTTAAAAATTTGATTAAGTTTATTTAACTAAGTTGTTTATGATTTAATAATGTTTGAAGCTTCTAACATTATTCATAAGGGTGTTAAAATATATTATAGAAATTTAACAAGAGAGTCAATGTTTTATTAACATACTGATTCAGAGATTGACTCAAAGTGGTTAATTACTTTGTTGTGACAGGTATAATTTCAAATATACCTTCCATTCTATTCAACTCAACAAATGGATTTTGATGTTAACTGACAAGAAGAAAGAAAAGTGACTGTTTTATTTTATTTTTAAGCATTGCTTTAATGTATTTTTATTGATTTCAGAGAGGAAGGGAGAGAGAGAGAAAGATAGAAACATCAATGAGAGAGAATCATTGATTGGCTGCCTCCTGCATGTCCTTGTCTGGGGAATGAGCCCATAACCTGGTGTGTGCCCTGACCAGGAATTGAACCCTGACCTCCCTGGTTCATAGGTTGATGCTCAACTACTGAGTCATGCCGGCCAGGCTTGTTTTATTTTTTTTAATTTAGATAGAAATTTCATGAGTAGCCTATCTGCTACTATGCCTATCGTTAAAAGTTATTTGGTTGATAGATTTTAACAGTTTTAGTTGGTACATAGCACTAAAACTTATAATAACATAGATAGCTGATATAATATGATTAATTATATTTGGGAAATAGATACTCAGGAAATACTGCTATTTGGGGAAGCCATCTATATTTCTGATATGGATTATATTTCTAAATTTCCCAAAAGTCTGTTGTTTCATCTGTCACCTAACGTGTTAAATGTATAATTTCAAAATATCCAATTTTGCTACAAAATAATAGAAAAAAGGAAGAAGAGATGACATTAAGTAGAGAGGCAAATGGCTTATGAGACATGGCAGACATAAAAGAGAAAGAATACATGTGAGGTAAACAGATAAAAATGATGGGACAAAGGTAAAAATTACTTCTAGGTAGAAAAGGATGGAAAAAGTCTATTGCAAATATTTGTGATTCACTAAGTATGCGCATGGCACATGAGGCACTCAATAATTAATGGGCTGAACATCAGCTATCTATGGGTGACATCCAATATGGCTCAGCATGTCCTCTGTCCAAGAAGCACAAATAACATTTACAGTTGGTTACCAGGTGCTCTAATTGTGGACAGGCACAATTATCCCAGCATCTCTCTAATAGAGCAAGCGAGATGTTGGCCCCAGATATCCTAAACCTGTTGAGCCATCTTGCTTAAACCTCAACTCTGGTCCTTGTAACCACACCCAGCAGTGGGAAGTTTGATGTGTCTGAGTTAGAAGAGACACAGACCGATGGAGTAACTCGGACAGTTCATAAAAACATGGTGTGACCCAATATTCAGGTGTTGTGATCTGTCATCTGGTTGCTTCCTGTCCATTGTGGGTTAACCTTATGCTGATTCTCACCATATATTTTAAGTGTATATAATAAGCTGTGTGATTGGAGCATCTTAATTTGAAGTGTGAGCCTCCCTGTTCTGCAACCTCTGTGCTAAAATGCCTGGTCCTGTACTTGGAGGCAACAGTTACATCAACGTAATTCCCCACGTGGCACTGCTGGCCAATTTTGGCCTCATTTTTCTTCTTTATATTTACAATGGATGATAATTACATTGCAATGGGTAAGGGGTATGCCATTTCAGAAGGACATCTGGTCACCTAAAAAGAGCATTTAACTGTCACAGGGATACATTTCAGGAATTGTCTGGCAGCGGCAGATAAACAAAAGAAGAATTCATGGTTCTGTGGGATAAAATCCAAGCTCTTGGAAGCTGGTTCCAATTCAAACTCTCATTCTGAAAGGTGAGATTTAGTGGCATGTCAAAGGTCACTATTTCTACTAACGAGTCAGCCAGCACAGAAGCTGAGCTGTCTACAGAGGCTCGGGGGTTATTTGAGACACTATGGCTGTTCCTCTCTGGGTCCTGGATAATGACCAAGCACACACGCTAGCACATACTATGTAATGACTAAAAATAGAAAGTCCAGCTGTCACAATTAATAGATTAACATTAAATGATGGGGGGGAAAAACACCCACACCCACAGAGAATTTCTGTGTATTAACAGGGTACCTGGAAGTGTCACTGAGACATTTCAAGTGCTAAACATTGCTGTTCTTTTCCCTGTCAATTTCATCATGAAGATCCATATTTCCATTTGCTTCTAGAAGACTAAACTTTAGTCAATCTTCTCATGTTAGTTTATTTTAGCTGGGAGTTTATGAACAGTTATCCAAAATATTTAATTCAAAAAAGCTTTTACTCACCCGCTAATATATATGAACTGGGTTAGATATTTGGAACACAATAATTAGTAAGATTTAAATTATGTTAATCAACAAACACGTTGGACGTCTTTCTCTGTGCCAGGCACACTGTGCTAGGCACCCAAATACTGCAGCAGCAGTGGCTTAAAATAAAGAATATTAACTATTAATAAAAATAAGTCCAGAGCCTCAGTGGGTAGCTCACCTATGACCTCTGTGATCCAAATGGTTTTTGTATTCACATTTCCTCTTCATAATTTGGAATTTTCCTTTGGGCTTTTTGCCTTGTGGTCACAAAACACCTGTTTCAGCTTCAGGTATCTTGTCCTCACAATACCGTCCCTAAGCAAGATGAATGAGGTGGTGAGAGAGGTCTCTTACAATTCTCTTTTTATCACAAAAACAACTTCTATCCTAAGGCTTCCCAGCAGAATTCCCCCTTGGATGGGTATTGATGATAGAAATTTCTGTGATGTTGAAACCGTTCCATCATGCGCGCTGTCCAAAACAGTATCTTCCAGCAAGCACTGGAATTGTGACTAGCGTGTCTAAGGAGCTGAATTTTTAGTTTTATTTAATTGAAATGGAAACACATGTATCTCATGTCTACCCTATTGGACAGTGCGGTCTTTGCTTCTTTTTGGCTAGAACTAGGTTATAGCCACCAATCGTTGGGAGGGAAGCCGGAGGATAATTAGCTTTTATAGTCTCTGAGGGAGAAAAAGTTTAGGAATGGCCATTGGGCAGCATCCAACAGTGTCTGCCAGAAAAAGTAAACAAGAGAGAGTATCATAGAGCTGGTATTGCAGTGGGGGAGGCCAACAACACGAAGATGTGAATACATTTAAAAAGGTAGCTATCTTCAGGTCCGAACAAGTCATGTTATCTAAACTCAGTCTAGATAATTGGTCTAGATTCTATAGTAACATAATAGGGCCTGACTGAAGGTGGGAGGGAGTCATTTAAGAAGGGGGTCGGGAAAAGCCTCCCGAGCTCAAAGTCTGGTAGAGAGAAGAAAGAACACGAGCATATAAAAGAATATATTCATATACAGGGTGGCATATATGTATATGCACACGCATTTATTACGTAGCTACTTATGCACGCAGTGAATACAATGTCTGTATTAGGAAGAAAAACAAAGCAACTCTGAGTGTTTCCCTGGGATCTCCCACAAGCCTCACACGACATAGCAAGACGGGATCTGCAGTACAGAGGCTTTGGACTGTGGCCCATCTGCCATCCCTGCAGCAGCAGGTGATGCAATACAGCTTTACTGGATTGTGTACACGGATATGGTTAACCAGCAATTTCTCAAACAATTTCTATAGGGTGTTGGGACGTGGGGCCATCACAAACACAGGAAAACTTAGAAAGGACCTGCTATGTCCTATAATTTCAAATGCTATAATGTTCTTGATGCCTGAGGGAGGAGCAGCAGTAGATAGACCAGTCCTTCAAGAGGCTGTCAGGGCTGGGTGGCTTAATTAAAGTAAGAGTTTGGTGTGACTGAGCCTAAATGACAGTAAACTTCAGACCGTATCGTCCTCTGAGAGCTTTGTATGTGTGGAAAGGACTCTTGCCGTGTCTTATGAACCCACGTTTGCACAGAATGATAATAACTGTGGGTTGTGTGCATTCAAAGGACTACAGTGCTGAAAGATACACTTTCTAAAGCCCTTTCCAGCTTAAACATACCACCTGTTGAGATCTATAATGATTTTTATTTTCAAAGAGAGTATGAGTCAGTGATTTCTATGCACGAATGACTGAAATTATTCACATAATAAAACATTCCCTCCATATTTCTCTTTGGAGTCATGGTAACACCTGAGGTAACTCTTTTCCTAATAATTCTGTACTTAGATAACTTTCTCACCTATGAAGTAGAATGATGCTATGTACCAAGTTGATGTTATTATTTGGTAAACAAAGTTCAAAAGAGACATGCATGCTTATTTCAGCTATAGGCTGTAATAAACTTTGTGGAAATAGTCACAGATGCTAAGTTCATATGAGAATTTGTGGCCATGACAATAGTAACATAGCTATTATAATCTTCATATTGCTACAATAAGAGGCTTTTATTTTTATAAAGAAAATAGATGGTGATGATGATTTTGTTAGGCAATAACAATTCTTTTAAGTAAATTCAAGAGAAATGTGACCAATTTCAGCCACTTAAGGCAAAAGCACCAGTTTGCCTGGTAAACTTACTAATAGATTTAGAGTTACCTAATGGTGGTGATGGTCTCCTACTTTTTCTATCCATCAGTATCCAGACCTACAGTGTTCAACGTGGTAGCCACTAGGCACCTTGGCTATTTAGATTCAAATTTACATTCATGAAAATCAAATAAAATGAGAAGTTATTTTCTTACCTCACTCAAGCTTTGTTTGCAGTGTTAGACACCCATAGTCGCCATCCTGAACAGCCCAGACCTAGAACATTTTTATCACAGGACATGCAATTAGCGAGGACACTGTTAGGTTTACATAGTTGAATCTAAAAACTGTTGGTCAAATGAAGTGCTATTTAAAGTTAATGCTGCCCTAAACGGTTTGGCTCAGGGGATAGAGCGTCAGCCTGCGGACTGAAGGGTCCCAGGTTCTATTCTGGTCAAGGGCATGTACCTTGGTTGCGGGCACATTCCCAGTAGGGGGTGTGCAGGAGGCGGCTGATCGATGTTTCTCTCTCATCGATGTTTCTAACTCTCTATCCCTCTCCTTTCCTCTCTGTAAGAAATCAATAAAATATATTTAAAAAAATAAAGTTAATGCCACAGTGTACATTAAATGAAGGCCATTTACCTACTACCACGAAAGTTCTAGTCATATGAACAGGTTCCTGGGAATTGGTCTCTAAGGTAAACTATGTAGGGGCCTTAGGTAGTATTGGCCTTGAACCCTCACTCCTGCCCAGCAAGAATAGCCCTGCCCTGGGCTCTGCATTTCCTAGGGCAGCATCCTAGCTCTCCCCTCCAAGGGGTGAAAAATCTCCAGGGCCAAGGGACATGTACTTCAAGAGCCTCCGTCCCCTTCCTACTTCTAGACCTTGTCCAAGGTACCCAGGACTCTGCACACACACCTGGCCTAACAGGTTGTTATGAAGGTATATTTCCCAAGGCAGGAGAATAGAATACACATGGTGTTCCCCCAAAATGTATTCACCCTTTAACAGTTCGTAGCCTAATTTTGAAAACGAAATGTATCTTAATAAACACTGTCTTTATAATTATTCAAAGTGCGTGTATATATCTGTGGAGGACAACCTATATTTTACTTGTTAGTTTAATACACTCCTTGTAAATATTTAAACACAGGGTATGTGAGCCCTGGTCTGCAAACGATGAGGCGGGTCAGGCAGCTGGGGTTGCTTGGCTAGTTTGCTCACTATTACGATAACTGATCACAGCTGACAGCACTGGATCTCACAGGGAAATTTCTCTCAAAGAGCTGCTGGTCCAGGGAGGCCCCATGAACCCTTTGCAGGGACCAAAGCCAGAGCTGCTGAAGGCCAGCACGTGAGAGCGCGCACTATCCTGGCGCGGAACCTGTTCCCAGCTCTGGTGTATTTGGGACGAATGAGAGGACTTACCCTGTGGCATGAGAAGGCTTGAAACCCCTTCCCGGGGAGTGAGGTGGGAAGGCGATTCCTTTGGAGATGGTTGGTCTGGGACACTTTTCCTGGCCTCTCCTTTCTCCCAGGAAATGCAGCCCCGCCCTGCGCCCTCACTCTGGCCAGGCCCGGGCTCCTTGGGCTCCGATGGGCGGCCCCCAGGGGCGCACAGGGCGGCTTTGTCTGGAGGGCGGCGATGGAGGAGGGAAGCGTGTGAAGGTGGCCACCCTGGCTGGAGTTGGGACTAGAACTTTCTCCCGCCTTCTGCACTAGTTACCACGCTCCCTCGGGCCCCCCCCTCAGATCCGGGACGAGATGCCCGAGTTATGGTTCAGACCCCCAGGCAGAGAAAGATCGGGAAGTTGCTCTCCCTGCCCCGGAGCGGAGA